AGAAAAAGAGCTCAACAGAAATGAGGCAGAGAAGATCGGATGGTAGGAACAGCTATTTTGGAGAAAACAAGACATCATAATAGCTAGTGCTGATTTAGTATCATCTTGTTTTGAAGTCCCATCAAACTTGTATTCTTCTGTCTCCATCGGTCTTAAAAGGTTGTATCTTGGGCTGGGGATTTAGCTCAGCAGCATAAGCGCCTGTCTTGCAAGCAGGCAGTCCTGAGTTCAATCCCTTGTACCGATAAAAAGGAAAACCAAACAAAACAAAAAAAAAAGTATCTTATTGGATTTTATTATATATGATAATATAAGTAAAAACTTTTATAGACAAGGAGATTATACAGAAATCATTGTTCATTCTCTGTTAATTGGTTCTAAATACCCTGTAATAATGTCATTCTCTTGAATGGTTTTATAGTGTCTTGATATGTTTGGTGCTACAGTATACGAAGTTATACTCAAAGATTTCAAGGAAAGAGACAATTATGGTAACTATTTTTATGTCAGGATATCTTGTGGTGAAACACTATTTTGCTTAAATGGTTATGTTTTGACCTGTGCTGTTCTGTTGTTATGCCCTCTTTTATCTCAATCCCCCTTTTTTAAAATTATTTACTTTTTTCTTTTTATCTTTTTAATTAAGGGAAAAATAAATAAAAAATAGTAGGATACATTATAGTAACCTACTTTGATTTGCTACTAACTTGATTTGAAATCCTGTATTGCCCTCACCATCTTGTTTTGATTGATTTTCCCCTATTCTGCTTTGCTTTGCTTGATAGTACCAAGTTCGAAAGTTAGGCAGAACTGTGAAGATAATAAGATTCATTATGACGCCCATCCCGGTTGACTATTATTCTTTTAAAGTCCTGTAATGTCTCCAGTGCTTTGGTTTTATTCTTTACTGTTTTGTTCAATTTTATTATAACTGGCAATTCTTAAAATAACAATAGGCAGTATGGTAACCATTGTTGATCACCTTGTATTTTGTTTTTACATTATCTATTATGTCCATCCTTTTGATTTGACTGACTCTGTTCTGATATGTCGCATTTGGTTTTACTCTCTTCAAAAAAAGTAATAAGAACTGTGGGAGTAATAAAATAAAACCCTTATTGTACAAAAGAAAAGAAAAGAAAAAAATTAATAATTGCTGAAAAGTCTTTTGCAGATATTTTGGTTTTATGAAAATTTTTATTGGTTACTAGATAGTTCTTTACATAAGAATGAATAATCAGATCTAATCAGAAGAACAGAGCACTGCTGGCAGCCTGCAAACCCTCATAAAGGCTGCGCTGTGCTCCAATGTTTGCCGCGGCGTTTACAGCCCTGGCTTCCCACGCTCACTTCCCAGCACAGGACTGGCTGGGGACGGAATGTCAGGCACCAGAGGTCCCACCAGAGACTGGGAAGCTGGGCACAGCCCAGGGGGGACCCCAGAGTAAAGGCCAGGCAGACACTTCCGCTCAGGGCAAGCACTCACCCAGCTAGCTCCAGCAGGGATCAAAGAAGGAGAGAAAAGAAAGGAAGAAATACATCATGTGCTGTGTGTGTGTCAATTTACTGCACAGGCTTTAAATTCATAAATATGTATACAATGCATAAATGTGAGAATAAGATACAATAGTTATAAAGGCAGAAGAATGGCAGGTGGTAGGGATATCTCGTCGATAAGGGAACTGCTGATGTGCTTGGTGAACCTCTGTGCTTGAGAATCAAAAGCCAGGCAAGGCCCAGGGGACCGCATCCAGCTGGGGAGGTGCAAGCTGTTCTGCAGCCCTGCTGGGCAGGCATCTCAGGGCCTCAGAAGACAAGGCCACGGGGCTGGGTGGTCCTAACTCCCCTCCCTCGACAAGGGCAGAGCTAGGCGCCTGCCTCATGCAAGTACGAGGTAGGGCATGGCTGCAGGGTCCTTTCGGGGACAGCAGGACCGGCTCAAGGAAAGGGCAGCAGGGAGAGGGTAGGGTGGTGACTCAGCCTCCACAAGAACGCAGCAGCAGAGCCAGGCCCTGGGAAAGGCCAGTAGCAGGTCCTGTCCTCATCATTGTCCCCAAATCTCCAGGGCCACTTCCTCTTACATGGTGGGGCTCTGCTTGCTCCCCACCCCAGGAACTGAGCCCCAGACAAAGGAGCTCCACACCTCACCTGGAGAAGGGCTGAGGGACACCCCCAACCTGCACCCCAGTGACTGACCACCCATAGGAGCACAGTCAAAGTTGGTGCCACCCTCTCCGAACCCTGGGGGTTTGCCTGGGCATGACTAGTAGCCAAGACAGAGTGCAGTCAGAGGGTGCCACTCAGTGGCCTCAAGGACACTCTCAGCTAGGCAGGGCTAGGGGGCCCAAGGGACAAATGGAAACAACAACCTACGTCCCCAGGCACTGAACGTGGTCCTCACCCTTTGCCCCTACAGGGAGAGCCCCTGAGAGGGAGTCGTTTGTGAGGCAGGACAACCAGAAACAAAGTGAGCGTGTCAGCAGGTCCTGACACACACCTCAGCTGTGTTCGGCAGCAAGGAACAGCCAGCCACATTCTGTGGTGCTGGGGACTGAACCAGGAGCTTTTAAAAATCTGTTCCTTTTCCTTTTCCTTTTCCTTTTCTTTCTTTTTCTTTATTTTTTCAAGACAGGATATCACTAAGTCCCTAAGGTGCCCAAACTGGGCATGAACCCACAATCCTCTTGCCTCAACCTCCCAGGTGCTTAGGCAAGAGGCCCATGTCTCAAGACTCAGGCTTCAGATGGTGTCTGAGGAGGGACTCCGAGTGGCCATGAGTGAGGCCGGGGAACAGCACTGCAGCTGTGAACACCATGAGATTGTAAGATCTTCTACCATTGTGGAGCATGAGCACCCACTAGGCTGGGGCCTCTAGAAGCTCACAGTGCCCAGGGCCACATACAGGGTTGGAGGTCACTGGGCTATTTCAGAGCCGCACAGATCTGGAGCACCTCGCCAGCTGACCTCAGCCAACCCACACCACAATGCAAGGAGATCACGGAGGCCTGGCTGACTGGATGCACAGCATGGCTCTCCCAGGCTCAGCCTGTCCTGCACCAGCCTGGGACTTGCGGCCATCAACTGCCACCTGGCAGCCTGGCCCCCTGCTGGCAAGGCAGGCCTCCTGCAGCCAGGTCCTGGCACACACTGGCCACTCCCTCAGTGCACAGCCAGAGCCTCACCCCATCCCCATCCCTGCTCCTGGATCCTGTGGGGACCAGGACAGGCCCCCAAGGAGCCTAGAACGGGACTCCCAGCTGAGCACCCAGCCTTGTCCTGTACTCCGTGCTCATGGAGCAGAGACCTGGGCCTAGGTGTCCCGCCGGTACCAAGGAAAGCGCCCTGCCCCACCACCTCTGTCCTGGGCTCACGGGAGTCTACTTCCTCTCCCATTGAGCAGTCCTGTACCCCTGGCAGTCCTCAAAGGGCTCCCAGGACCTGAGGGGTTTCAAGGCTTCAGGACTAGCTCCTGCCCCCCTCCCCCAGCAGATCCAGGACCTGAGGTTTCGTCCTTCCAGGGGAGTGACCTGTGTCTCCAGAGTGTGCCCGGGCTTTGAGGATGGAGGAGTCAGCACTTGCAGAGATGCTGCGTCTAGGCCTTGACTGTGGATTTGCCCCAGTGTCCCGTGATGGGTCCGGGTAGGCAGAGAGAGACCCCAAGCCCTAGGGGTGAGGGGACAGCCACCCAGGGACACAGCAGTGGTCGTTCACTGGTCATACTCATGAAGGGAAGTCCCACAGTGGTGGGAGGGGCTCTGGCGCCAGGGCTTTGTCCTGAGCACCCTGCATCGAGGCCCCAGGAAAGCAGTGGTGAAGACAGAGTGGGGCAGATTATTCTTAGGACACATAGAAGGGAGCTGGATGAAAGCTGGATGGACTGGAGCTCTGCTGGGCCAAATGCACCCTTAGTTTTTCCATAGGGCACACAAATGTCCAGCCAGGCAGAAGGGATGGGGCTCAAGAGGCTGAGGCAAGAGGATCACTTGAACTCTTAGCAAGACCAGCCTTGGCAACACAGTGAGACGCCATCCTTTAAAAACACCCCGGCCTTTAATCTCCCTTTTTGTGTCAAGCCTGGCCAGGAGCAGGCAGCAAGGCTATTCTGAATTTGGCTGAGGGAGGTAATGCTGATCACACAGCTGCCACAAGGAGGCAGCAAGTTCCTCTTGAAAGGGCTTCCTGTCCCAGCACCTGCACATTGCGCGCCTCCAAGGAGGGCTTGGCATTTACTGGAGGAGTAGATGGACAAACGGATGGGAGGATGGAGCACCTGGCAGGAAGGTCTGAGGGAAAAGGGAGCAGTCCTGAGCAACAGAGAGCAAACAGGCTTAAGGGCACAGGGGCAGGGACAGGCAGGATACAGAAACTTGGGCCCCTAGCAAGAGGACTCTGTCAAGGGGCTCTGGGAAGCAGAGGCATGATCTAGGGGCTCTAGGAAGGGTGACAAGGCAGGGAAGCAAAGCAAGCTCACTGACACTGGGCTGGGCCAAGGCTGCAAGGCATAGCCACAGGAGTATGAGAGGAGGAGCAGGTAGGTACAGGCTGAACCCGGGAACAAACACTGCAGCACAGTCCGTGACGAGTAAACACCAAACAGGACACACAGCACTGGCCAAGGGGAAGTAGAGGGAATCAGGTGGAGGGTGCCAGAGCACAGGGAGGGCTCCCACCACATGGGATGAGGGGGCCTTGATGTGGCCGTGGAGGCCAAGGCTCAGGGCAGCCCTGGGTGGACACAGCAGGGTCTGGGTCTCTGCAGGTGCTGAGCACACGTGCCTTCTGTCCATGCTTAAGTCCAGGCCACCACGCATGACACAGTTGAGCTTCACACAAGGTAGCCTCCACAGCCCTTGTCCTTCCCTGACACAAACTGGGATCCTGGGTCCTGGGCATCCCAGCTGCTAGGAGGGTGGCAAGTCCAGAGGGGTCTGGGCTCCCCTCAAAGCAACCACGAAGACCCAGCCTCCAGTGAAGCAGCCCCCATGACACTCAGTAATCAATGCAATGAATTTTTACTTGGTAATGAATATTTACTTAGTCCACAGAGCTGGTGCCCAGGTAAACAGTGCATCTCATAGGCAGAGCCTTCCTGGCCACCCCTCAGGCAATGCCTGGTGGATATAAGCGGCACCTGACAGTGAGGGACAGACACACTCTGTGAGACACCAGCCTGCAACACCAGTGCTCACTGCCTTCCTCCATGAAGCTCAGTGCCACCGTCGCCCTGCTCATGCTGGCGTGCACCTGCAGCTCTGGTAAGAACAGAGGGAGCCCTGTCCCCTGCCCACAACATAGGGCCCCATGGGCAGAAAGGCCTGGCATGGAAAGAGGAGACCTCCACACAGGCGATCACATACACACGTAAGCATGGAGATCACACACAGAAACATGAAGATCACACATGTTAGCATAGAGATCACACAGAGGAAAGTGGAGATCGCATACACAGGAACATGGAGATCACACAGAGGAACGTGGAAATTACATAAGCATGGAATTTGCACACATGGGAACATGGAGAACACACACAGGAACATGGAAATAACATACATGAGCATGGAGGTCATATAGGAACATGGAGATGACACATGTGAGCATGAAAATGACATGCATGAGATTGGAGATCACACACACAGGAACATGGCGATCACACACAGCAAGAGGGAAGGCATGAAGTCTGGGAGGAGGCAAGAGGCGGGGGCGGGACCAGTCCCTACCTGTACTTCACTGCATTTTCCCCTCCTATCTGAAAATCCCGGTTTGTTTGCTTCTTTTTAATAAACCAATCCAGTTAATTCCTGTGTAAAGTTTGATTAAAAACCCATGGACATAGGTTTTATGGCCAAGCAGGGGTTCAGACAGACCCAGCTGGAGAGCAGAATGGCTGCTGTTTCGCAGAGCACCTCCTCAGTAATTAAGGGAAGTGGGCTCCACTCAGCCTGCACTGTGCATCGTTAGACCTGCAGCAGGACAGGAGAGACGTGCTTCAGGGCAGGTGGGGGCTGATCCCTACTTCTGTGTCACAAACAGTAATTAACACTGATAACAGTGTGCAGCGCTGACCTAGCACCAAGAATGCCACCCCCTGGCCCCTTTTCCATGCTGTCATTGCTGTGCTTACAGTGTCCTTGTTGTTCTTACAACTCATAGGGCAGGGTTCTCATTCTCACCTCGAAGACAAGGGCACAGAGTCCTACATTGTCAGTCACTCACCAGCAGCACGTGGGCACCCTGGGATGGGAACCCAGTGGCAGGCTTGGGAAGTCGGCTTCCCAGCGGTCCCCAGGCCATGAGGTAGGATGCTTCCAGCTGAAAGGAACACAGTGAGGCAGGCATCCAGGCTGCCTGGCCCCAGCCAGATGCCACCACACACAGTGCTCCCCAGGCCGGCCCGTGCTCTGTGACGTGTGGCCCAGCCACTGGCTGTGGGTGAACAGCAAGGCTTGGGTGGGAACCAAGGCTCTGGAGGCCTTGGGTCAGCACTCAGCTCCACTCTGCACACCACTGCCTTCCCCGAGCTAGCAGCCAGCCCATGAGAGCTGCCTGCACCCATGGCCCTCTGCTTCCACACCAGGCTCTGAGGAGACGTGCCCATCATTCCACCAAGTTCTCCATAACTTCCTGGTGGGCACACTGTCCAGCTACCAGAGCATGGTGGAACCCTTCAAGCCAGACGCGGACATGCAGGAAGCAGGCACTGTCATGAAGAACCTGGTGGACAGCCTGCCCCAGAGCACCCGGGAGAAGGTGCTGAAGCTCTCGGTGAGCACATGCCTCTCCCACCCCCGCCAGACCCTCCATCCTGGTCCTATTTCTAGCCCAGCCAAGTGGGTCAAGGTTGATAAATGTCTCAATAAGTAGGCATAGTCGTCTCTCCAGCTGTTTTTGATTTTGTTACTAGGGGAGTTTCTCACTACATAGCCCAAGCTTGGGCTCCAGTTCCATCCTCCTGCCTCAGCCTCCCGAGTGCTGGGATTACAAACATGTGCCTTTGCATCCAGCCCGGGTTACCTTTCTAAAGAGCCCTTTGAGAGAGATACCCCAGCCCATGCCCACCTGCTCCCAGCACTCATCAAGCTTTAGTCCGTGTCCCAGACTCCGAGTACCCTCACCTCCAGACCCTAAAGCCTACTCACCATTCTCTTGGGCTTTTCTTTCCTTTTTAGGAAAAAATAGTAACAACCAAAGTGTGTGCTTAGAATTCAGCAACCCAAAGCTGCTGGACTCGAAGCTGAAGATGCCACCCACCCCCTGCCTCTGCCCCCTTGGCGTTTCAATAAACCTTGAGCATCTCACTTAGCTGCTGGCCTCTTCCACTCTCTTGCTGGGGTGGGGGCCAGGATCCCAGGGCCCTCGGACCCACTGCTCCATCTGGGTCCTCTCCCTAACTCAGCAGCCCCATGGCCCAGTCACTGTCTCTGTTGCTCAGCCTTGGCCTCACAGCCCTCTGCAGGGCCCAGAGTCTCCCTCATTCCATGGCCATCAGTGTCCGCCACCAGCCCCAACAGAGTTCCTAAGGCTCCCCAACACCCCAGGCCAGGCTGGGGATCCTGTGGAAGGGGAGGCATCAGAGCAGCCCTAGCACCCTCCCTGCAGCTGGGGCTTGTGTCCACCACGACGCCCACAGCCAACAGGTTTTGGGGCTGCGCTGAAGGGCCTCCAGCTGAAGGGCCTTGGGGCAACATGTGGGAGCCAGAGCTGGCCCTAAGGAGGTGCCACAGGGACCCAAGGCCCCAAACCCTGGCTGAGGAGGTGGAGGACCAGGTGATACTGGCCACCAGGGGGCAGTGTCACCACGCCTGGCAGGATCTGGTCACAGAGGGTGGAACCCAGGCTGCCAGGGGCCCGTGGGTAAATTAGATTTTAAAGTTTACAGGAAAACATGGAGAGACTCCCACCACCCCCAGAGCTGGCCACAGCCCCTCCCAAGGGTCCCAGCGGCTGACCCTAGGTTTACAGTGGAATCAGAACCTGATTCCTGGGTACCTGCACAGGATTCCACACCCTCGGAGTATCATCATGGGTACCCCACTCTGCAGGTGGCAGGAGCTGCCAGAGCCAGTAAGACAGGTGACATGGGTGGGAAGAACACTAAGAACACACACACCCACCTCACCTCACACCTGGGCCAGGGCGGCCACTGTGCTGGAAGGACCAGCCTGTAAAAATTCCAGGCCAGGTTAGGGGCCAGGAGGCTCAGGGCGGCAGCCTTGGGCCTCCCAACCTGCCACTCCCCCACATCTAGCTCAGCTCACTCTGCGCATTCCTCAGCGCCCACCCAGCCCCGCATTGCTTCAGTGGATAAAGATCAGGGCCAGCTAGAGAAGTGTTTACCTTGGGCAAACAGGCAGGCGGCAGATAAGTAAGCTTGAAAAGAAGCACAATTACCCTGCAACAGGTCCCGCCAAGGCCGAGAGGACCCACAAGAATTCTAGCTATGTAATCACCCAGAGCCCAGCCAAATGGTTTTTGGAGGGTTTGGGTTGTTTTTGTTTTTGTTTTGTTTTTCAAAATAGCAGGGTGCAAAGACAAAAGGCTGAAGTCCCAGAGACAGCAGGTCTGCGTCCATGAGACACATGCAAAGGAAGCAGGGGATGAATGAAGTGCTCTGGGCCCTTCTCCAGGACTCCCGCAACACAGCCCACCAGTAGCGCCTGCCGCTCCAAGCCACAGGCAGCTGAGCAAGCTCAGGCCCCGCTCTGCACAAACCTTGAGCTAAGAACGGCTTTTGCTTTTGAAGAATGGGGAAGAGGAGGAAAAGTCCACACTTATGTTATGTAAATAACTATTCGTGTAATTAGCCATTTTCTCTAGGAATATGCCAGACTCTAAAACACAGGAAGCCCTGTGCCTGACTTGGAGTTTCCTGCATTTGAGAGTACTGAGCACCAATCGCAGAGACGAAAATATATCCCAACCAAAAGGACCAACACCCAGAAACGCATGTTCAGCGCCCCACTCCTTTCAACATTCAGAACTTTGAGTATGGAAGAGAGAAAAAGAACACATTTCCTGATGTCTTTAAGAAAAGTGAAACTGGGTGAAAAATATTATTTGGAAAATATCTGTTATCCCAACAATTTAGAAACCAAAGGAAGCGTAGCTTTGACTGCCGCTGAAGGAGAAAGGTAATTATCCATGTGGCTGGCACCGTGAAACCCAGTCTGGCCTGTCTGCCTCAGTCTCAGCCGGCATGCATGGATCAGCAGGGCAACCAGGAGGTTACCCAGGCAGAAAACCTGCTAGTGATTCACCAGGCCGGAACAGGAAGCCAAACCAGCCCTAATCAACTTCATCAAGATGGTATGGATAAAACCTCGTTCAGGGCCCGTGCCAGCTACAGTATTTGGGAACACCCAGGCCTCATGGGCCATAATTCAACATAGGGTGATAGCTTCTGATGGACGATAAAGGGACCCTCGGCTGATGACAAGCCACATGAACGATGCCGACAGAAACGTGTAATTAGGGGCAGGGTGAGTGTGAGTCATCAGCAGTTTGCCACCCAACACATTTCCACGATGAACTAAAATTACCAAACTACAGGTCATGCAAAAGAGACCTGAAAATAGGTCCAGCTAAGCAAGTATGACTGCTGGCTTCAGAATTGATAGGCTAGGGGCGGGGAGCTCAGACCTAGTGCCCTGCAGTGTGCATGGACCTCCACCTACCCCAAAACTCTGCTTAGCACATGCAGTACCTGGGGTTTGCACCCTCGGTGCAGTCAGCCCATAACTGTATGCACTTCCTGTGGGGCTCTGCATTGGCTCCTGCCCCCAAGTAGGTTCTCTGTTGGCCCCAGGGCAAGGAGGGACTCGGGGGCTCTCCAGGAGATGTGGGGTACAGGGTCTACTTCTTCCTGCCCTGCACAAAAACTTTGCCACCCAGGGCCTGGCTTACTGCAGATCACCTCTAAACTAATTTCACATGGCAGCTGTAACAGATTACCACAAACTTAATGGCTGTTTAAAAAAAAAAAAAGTTTGTTTACCTTGCAGTTCTGGACCTTTCCAGGCCAGATCCAGAGAGCTGCCAACCAAGGCCCTAGGTGGCCAGGGTTCGACTGGCTTCATCTCCAGGCCCACCAGCTCCTAGCTCCTTGGCTGGTGCTCCTTCTATCTTCAGCCCAGCCCTGCAGCGTCTTCCACCCTGCCCCAACTCCCCTCGGCTGCCAGGCCCCACTAACCCAGAATGAGGCCTGCTCCCCTCACTCCAGGCCTGTAGGAGCAGCTGTCCTACAGGCCTGTCCCTGTTTGTGCTTGTCCCTCCACTTTGGGACCTTCATGTGCCGGGTGCTGGAGACCGGCACTGGGCCACCTTGACCAGACCCCCAGCCTAGCTCCAGGGTCTCAGCTGCGCACCTTCCTGAGCACTCGTCCCAAGAACCAAACACTGGCCTTGAGCTTTGCTCCTAGTCCCTGCGCCTGCTTCCTGCAGGGCCTCAGTCACTGCTGTCCTGGGAAGCCGGCCCCAGGTGCGCTTCAGGGCCTGGCCACAAGCTGCTTGAGTCAGCTGGGCAGACTCACTGTGCTCATTGCCCAGAGGCCCTGAAAAGCCTGACCCAGTGTTCATCACCAGACCACACTAGGACTTATGGAACTGAATGCTCACCCTCCTTTTTCTGAGACAGAGTCTCACTATGAAGCCTAGGCTAACTCTGAACTCAGGGCAAACCTCCTGTCTTAGCCCCGCCAAGTGCTGGGTTTACAAGCATGCACTGCCACACCCAGCCTGCACGGTTTATTCCTTATTACAGTTTCTCCTTTAACTGGGCCCCTTCCAGATGGCTCTAGGGCTCCTCTATCCCAGGCTCCCTTCCTCCCATCTGCTTCTGTCACCCTCTCCAAGACAGGAACCCCCTGTTTGTTATCTCACTGTACATCGTGTACAGAATTTAGAAAATCCAGGTGAGCAAAAGGAAGGAAAGCTGCTGGCATGCAAACCTTGTGACCAGGACCCCACACATGAGGCTGGGAGAAGCCAAGTCCCCGAACCAAGGCAGGACCCTGCTCCCCAGCAGGACCGGGGTGGTCCTTGAGAAGTCCCAGAGAGAAGACTCCAGGGCCCAGAAAGACTCCCAGGATCCCTAGCCACCGCCGCCTGAGAAATCCACCCGCAGCACGGGCAGGAAGTTCCACCCAAATGCCACAAGGTGTGGGCTCCCTGGGCCATAGTTGAGGCTGCTTTCTGTTTCTGGATGAAGATGAAATCAGCTTACAACACCAGCTTCTTCCTAAACCACAAATCCATTTGACACGTACTCATTCACACTTGATCAGTTTCAGGGCCTGATTATTATGCAACTACAGCCATATTGGTAGATGTTAACTATTAACCAAGTGACCCCCAAATCGTCTCCAGTCTAGCCCACAGAATAAGAATGTCAGAGCACACCCCACTTCCGCAGTACAAAATACTTAGGAAAGCCATGTACCAAAAGAAGTGTGTTGGTGGCTGGGCTGGGGTTTTCAGCCCCCCAAGGACGTGCGCCACACATGACTCTGGAGGAGGGAGGAGACAGCCGGCTGCCCAGGGCCACCGCCCAGGGCTCTGAGGAGCAGGGAGGGGACAGCACTGGCCAGCAACTGGGGGAGGGGGCTGTGCATGAGGGCAGCCCGAACCCACACCCATGCTGCCTGGTGGACCCGTGAGCCCTGCCTCCCACCAGGGATGTGGGCTGTAACCCTGCCATAGGGAAAGCCGCCTGGGGAGGCAGCCTTCAAGGAGGCAGGAGTTAGCTTCCTTTGGCACGGTGGCCCTGTCATTTCCCATTTTTAGAACAATGCTCCAAACAACAGTCACCAAACAACATTCGGAGAGGCGGTTTTCTTCCTGGCCGCTGGGACAGCCCTGCAAAACAAACAGCGCAGGGGTTTATATTCAAAACCTGTTTGCACATCCCATAAACCTGGGTACGGGACAAAGTCTGGGCGGGGGGAGTTGAGCTACAGCTGCTGACCCCTTTGGGTGTGGACCCACCTCTCAAGAAAGCTCATGCTAGGGACAGAGTGTTCTCAGGAACCCCACGTGACAACGACTCTGAGGCGAGGCAAGGCAGCTAAGGCCTCCCACGGCCTTGAGGCAGCCCCACTGTGCCCCTCTGTGCCCAGACAGTGCCCACCTGCGCTCCGTACATGGGGACTCCAATCCCGGTCTCTCCAGATTGGCTCTCTCCTCTGCCTTTTTTCCAGGGACCAAGCAGCAGCTTCATGACTCCAGGGCCCTGGCCTTCCCCTGGCGCCCACCCCTTGCTCCCATGTACCCATCTCAGCTCCCAGCCCTCAGCCCTCTCCCTGTGCCTGGCCACCTTTGACCCTTCTCACTTCAGTGTCCCTCAGGGCCTCAGACCCACCTGTGACCTGGCCCACCCCATGCAACCTCTAGCCTCTCTGGTGCCAGACTCCACCTGGCCCTCAGTAGGCAACCACTGAGCAGAACCTCACGTCCAGTGCATGTGGCGTGGCCCAGTCCAGGGAGTGCTGGGGGCTGTTGGGGCATGGGCATCTGTGCAGGTGACTGGGCTGTGGTGCTGCCCTGGAAGGAGCTTTGTCCAAACCTTTGGACGCGTTCTGTCCCCTCTACTCTAGACAGTGGCCAGGAAAAAGCAGGCCCACTGTGCCTGACCTGGTCCCCTCCCACCCATCATGGAGACGCAGTGCTCTGAACCCCCAGAGCTGTGAGCTGAACAAAACCCTTTCCTTTGTAAAGTACTCTGCCCCAACCACATTATTAAAGCAACACAGGTCGGCCCAGAGGAGGAAGGTGCTGTCTATGCCTCTGTGGGGCCCGGGAGGAAACGGCACCCGGCAGGTACACACAGCCACCACCAAGAATGCATGTCAGGCTGCTGTGAGGTGGGCACTGTGTTCACTGCATGCAGGCAGGCTGGGAACCGGAGGCCTCAGCTCACTGCCCAGGCGCCTCCCAGGCTAGAGGAGCTAAGCTGGGCTCACACCAACTCCCGGCCTCCACACTCCTCCAGGAAGGCCTAACCGCCTGGCTGTGGGGACACGGGGCGGGCAGGGCCCCAGGCTCTGATCCAGTGACTCAAGCTCATAGGGTGGAGCCTCAGTCTGTGTCTGGATTTCAAGAGGGTGAGACCGATGATTCCTGGGATTTCAGGGCCATGGTGCGACCCACTGAGAGCAGTGCCTTCAGCCTCTGGTGCTTGGGGAAGCAAGTCAGGAAACCTGCATGCTGCACCAGGGAATACGCTCAGGATCCCTAACCATACAGACACGGTAGATTCAAGTCCCTGTCCTTCTCCCACCACTGTGAGACAAGCTGTCCTCTGTAGCCTTCTGTCCTTTCTAAAGTGAGAGAAGCCAGGCAAGGTGGCACTCGGGAGGCTGAGGCAGGAGGATCTCTGAGGCCAGCCTGGGCTCCAAGTGAGTTCAAATTCAGCCTGAACTGCAGAGCGAGGCCCTATCTCAAAAAAAAAAAAAAAAAAAAAAAGAGCCAGAAATAAATCAGTAAATAAAAAGCATGTTTGTCCAGTAAATTATGATTGCTTCCATGGACATATCTGGCAGAAGTCTAATATGTACTCAGTAAGAGTACAAAATACTCACCCTGATGAGTTGCTTGGCCACTTTCACTTGCAGGCACCCATGGGCACCCAGCCCAGACAGGGGACCCCCAGCTCCCCAGAAGCCCCCTGAGCACCTGCCTGTCACGCCCCACCTGACAGGACCCATGGTGGAGCTGCTTTACCAACCACTCAGCTCTGCATCCATGAAGCAGGCAGGGATCTTCTGATTGCTCATCCTCGGAGGCATGGACTTGCCATCAAGGTTCTCCAGGCCTCCATGGGCCGTGGGTGTCAAGGCAGAAAACTCCCTGGACTTTGCACACCCTTTCTTTCGCACAGGCGCTGGTCTCTGGGGAGCAGATTCACCAGGAGGGAAGCTGGGGCAGCACCGTCTCCACACACCCCACAGGGGTCAGTATCTCCCATGGCCTTCGTGGCCTTCGTCTGCCCTCCTCTCTCAGCAGTGCTGAGAGCGTTTCCTTGCATGCTGCTGCCCCAGAGTTCTCTTTCGGGATACCCACCAGAGCTTAAGCCTGTTTTTTGCGGGCTGGCTTCTTTTTGTTGAGTCTGGATACAAACTCTTTGGCAGGTGCATGCGGGTGCAGGTTGAGATCTTCAGGTCTGGGACCCATTGTATTTAAACGGCACCTTAGGCTGGAGAGAGGCTTTTAATTGTGCTTTCATCTTCTATTCTGGAAATTTCTGCTCCCAAGGCCCTGCACACCTCCTCTCTACTCCTAATTTTCCAAGTCTTCCCTTAGGGGTGGACAGGAATGGGTTGGCTTTTGCTTAAACAGTGAGCAAAGTTCCCTGAGAGAGACACTGGGTTAGGCAGTGCTGATGTGGAAGTGACTGGGGGTCTCAAGACCACCTGGCCTTGTCCTCCAGGACGGACCAGGTGCTGGCTGTCCGCCAAGCACCAGGGTGGGTCCCTGCTCGGGGAGACAGAGGAGGGGAAGAGGCTCCCACGGCTTTGCCTGATGTGATGAAACCCTGCAGATAACTGAGATGGAGAAACAAAGGCTGGGTTGGCTGTTAGTTTCCAGTCTGAGATCAGGCTGCCTATGGACTCGGGCTCTGGTGGCTGCTGGGGATGGGGAGGAGGACCAGTCACCACCAGGGGAACGAGGGGTTGGTCCCACCACTCTAGGCTCCTCCTCCTCCCTCCTGCAGCCCAGCCCTTTGATTCAGGTCTGTACCCTGAGGCCAGCAGCTACAGCTCTTCCTTGGGCTGGGGCCAACCCACAACCTCATCCAAAGTGCGCCCCTGCTGCCCACCACTGCCCATCACCCTGTCTGAGCCCTTTGCCATAGTTTCTGGCATTTACCGCCCCCCCACCAAGGCTTCTCTACCCTTCTCCCCTTCCCCGGAGCAGGGCAGCTGCTGCTCTGCTCCCTAGGTCTCTGCCCAACCTGACCTCCCCTCCCCTTGCAGAGCCAAGGAACAAGGAGCAGCAGGCTGAGACCGCACCCCAGCTTTCCAGGCCCAAGGGGCTGGGGCTGTGACCCTCCTCCCGCCCCCTGCCCCTACAGCCCTGTGTCTCAAAGGAGGAAGCAGATCCTGGGGAGGAGGCAGAAGGGGAGGGGACCTTGGCCGGTGCCAGGCCAAACAGGAAACCAGGATCCCGGGCTGCTGTGTCCAGCCCCTGAGGGCAGATGGCTCAGCAGCCATCCCCTCCTGTCCTCTCCTGCCGCAGCTCCACCCACCCGTCCCCACCCCAGCCTCTGGCAGACTGCGATGACCAAGGGTCACGAGGTGACCACTCTCTTCCGATCTTGTGATCACGGGACAGGACTCCAACCAGGAGGCTGCCGGGGTGGGGAGCAGAGTCCTCCATCCTAGAGACCACAGCCTCTGCCCTAGGTTTGTCCCCCAAAGCCACAGAGCTGTGGCACTTTGGGCAGCCAAACAGAAGTGGGGCTCCTGGGCTCCGTCCCACATGCATCAGGTCTTCCTCCAGAACCTGAAGGTGAACAGATCTTGTGGGACAGGGTTGACTTGGTGCCCAGTGCTACAGGGTGAAGGGCTAGGTCCTCTGTCCTTACTCCCGAGGACCCTGCCACACCTTTCTGGCCTGAGAACTTGGGGCCAAAACAAACCTCGCTCATAACATCCCAGGTGTTGAATCACAAAAACAAAAGATGAGAGAGCCAGGCATGATGGTGCAGGGGAGTAATCTTAGCACTAGAGAGGCTGAGGCAGGAGGATCTCTGAGAGTGTCAGGCAAGCCTGACTACATAGGGAGACCTTGTTTCAAATAGAAATACTGGGCACAGGCCTCCACACTGACCTGTGACCCCAACCTTTTCTATTTTTTATTCTGAGACAGAATCTCACTAGGCCGCTCAATGGTAAGTGAGCCTCCTGACTCAGTCTCCTAGAAGCCAGGATGATAGGTGGGCTCCACCACACTCAGCTGAAGATTTCTTTTTATGAAACTTGTTTTTAGAAATAAATTGACAATAATTTGCAATGCATTAACCATTGTTACCTACTAATACCTTGTTTTGAAATTTTGTTCTATTTTTTCTTCTTTAAAATAAACACATACGGGGCTGGGGATTTAGCTTAGCAGCATAAGCCCCTGCCTTGCAAACAGGCAGTCGTGAGTTCAATCCCTGGTACCGATAAAAATGAAAAAGACAAAAAAATAAAATAAAATAAACACATACATAAAAAGTAAAAATAAATTTACATGAAAAAATATCAAACCAGCAGTGGCAAGGCCTCAAGGGGTGGACAGAGAGGTGAGCAGGGCCCTGAGGCCACCCGCATGGGGGCCCTCCCCATATCTGCCCTGCCCCGTGCGAGCCCAGTGTCCACACCTGCCCCTTCTTGGACACTCGCTTCATTCTATGCCATCCAGGGCGCTGCCCCACCCCGCAGGCCTCAGGCCTCTCCAAAGACAACCAAAGGCCGAGTACAACCCAGGGCACCACCACAATGCGGGCCCATGCCTCCAGGCACCCAGTGTCCCCAGGCCCACGCACTGTCCATGCACGTAGTGTCCTGTCTCCTTCCGGGCTGATTCCTGGAGGGCAGGGGCACGCCCAGGGCTCCTTCTCCACAGCACACAATGTGGACGCAGTCCAAGGACTTCATGCTTCTTGACTGACTCACTGATTCTACTCAGGCAGACCGAGGCCAGGAGCGAGGCTGAGGCTATGCAGACTCCATCGAAAGCCTCACAGGTGCAGATGCGTCGTGCCCCACCAAAGGCCCACCTTCAGACCACACAGGGTCCAGGCACCCTGTGCATCCCTAGGCTCAGCCTCCTCACAGTGCAGCAGACATACAGCCTGGTGTTGGGTCCGGGCTGGCCCCACACAGTGGATGGGCCTCCAGGAAAGCATGGCTCCCCCACCAGCCCAAACTCACTGACTAGGACATCCGCAGCCCCCAAGGCAGTACCAGCGTCTGCAGGTGACCTCCCCACTGAGCAGCTGCTACTCACACAGTCACAGGCCCTGTTGATGCCGCCCCCGCACCAGCAGACACTCAGCCCCGCCTGCTGGCTCTGTTTGCTTTCCCCGGGTCCATGGCGACCAGCACAGGCAAAGGACAGGCAGGCCACCCGTTGGCTGGGCTGAACTGTCCCTCCCCACAGAGCAGAGGAAGCCAGGCTGTGCAGCTGATGCCAGCCGAGTGGGCTGGGCAGCTGAGAGGGGCAGCCTCTGGGACCCAGAGTCTCCAGGACAGATGGACTCTGAGTCCCATCTACCCTCCTGCACTGAGGCACCTAGGGACTGCAGGGGACCGGCATTGCTCCAAACTGCTGCTTGCCTCTCAAAGCAGAGCCCAAGCTAAGCTTTGTCCCCAGCTCTGTGTGCAGCCACTCAAGGGTCCACGGGGCAGAAGGGCACCCAGAGAGGGGAGGTCACTGCCACATGGGCCCCTGAGTGGACCGTGTTCAAAACATAAGCATCTCATCTGTCACTCACCCTGACCAGCCCTGCATGCCTCCCCTTGTGATCAGCACTGAGGAGCCCAGCACAGAAGTGGGGGGCGACCTTGGCCACGGCTTCAGGCTCCAGGCAGAGTCAGAGCCAGAGCTGGGCGCTAGGTAGACACCCGTTCCTGAGCCTTGTCACCTCCTAGCAGTGACAAACTCAGCCACCTGGGGGTCCACATGGCCCAGTCTGAGCTGAAGGCACTGCCCTACTTGCACCCCCTCAGCCCTGCTGCACTGTCCCGCAGCCTCTGCCTCTGCAGTCACTTGGCTACCAGGTCTGCCCAGCTGGATGCTCCACACCTGGTCTAACTTTGGCCACTCTGCACCTGGGAGCACAGGGCCCTGCCCGAGCGAGGGCAGGACAGAGAGGCCCTGGCTGGTAAACCAGGCACAGCGGGGCTGGGAGCAGCTCCGGGCAGGGATTTCCGAGGGCTTGCCAGGCCGAGTTCAATCCCCACAAAAGGAAAAGGGCACAGAGGGCTGAGGAGGACCCAGCCCTCCTGCCTCCTGCACAGGAAGGACACAAGGACCGGTGCCCCACACGGGGGTGGCAGGAAGGCCACAGTGACCTCAAGAGAAGAAGAAAGCCCTGCTTGCCCTGGCCAGAGCCCTACAGCTGGGTCCCAACAGTAAGAGCTCAGATGTCAGCAGCGAGCCCCCAATGAACTGACAGGGCTCAAGGCTGGGGCTGGAAAGAGGAAGAGGAGGAGGAGGTGCCAGCCAGGGGAGGGGCAGCCCCAGGAGTGACAGTGGGGACCAGTGGCAGGTGACAGGACCAGAGGAAGGGCCATGATGCAGAGCTGCGTGGGGACAAGGATGGGAAATGGGGGGCAGGGGATGGGGTGGAGGTGGAGAGTGGGGACAAAGGTCACAAGGATGGGTCACAGGTTCAGAGATGGAGATGGTGACAGGACCTGAGGGGGAGGTGTGAGACACAGCAGAGCTGTGTGAGGAGAGGGATGGGCCTTGGGAGACTGGGGCTGGTGCAGAGCTAGGCCAAGGGAGGTGACAGCTGTACCACACACAGCTGGGCATTTTGGGGCATGGGGTCAGGCATCCGTGGCCCCAAGGTCCCCATGGCTGAAGTCTCAAGGGGCTCCAGGCTGTGGGAGGCGTTTCTAGCTGCAATGAAGCAGGGCCCCAAGCTGTCGTCCCCTACCATTCCCTGCTGAGGGCCAGGGCTAGGCATTGGTGAGGGGCACTGAGACGGAGAAGACTCAAGCCAGAGCAGGGCAGGGCAATGGGATATGTCTTCAGGACAGGGACTGTACACGTGGGGCTGGGGCTGCACAGGCCTCCCCTCCTGTCCACGGCTGCTACAACCCAACCCTAGGCTCAGGGGTCTCCTGCCATGCTATGTGGGGCCCCCTGCCCCGTCCTTGCCACCAAGACCATGCACCTCAGGCTCAGCAACCCCTGCATCAATATACTGAAACTCAGGAGGCAGAACTGTGGTGGGGGGCACAGGGTCACCCAGTCCTGCGCTGTACAGGGACTAAGCACAGAGCCAGGCAATCAGGCTGCAACTGCAGCAACGGGGTTGACTTCACACCAGGAAGTAGCTTTACGACTTAGGGCATGGGGTCCAACCCCCACAGTTCCAAGGGTGCGGCCAGGCACCTGGCATGAAGGTAGCTGCTGTAAAACAGACAACAGTGACCAAAACAGCAGTGACTAACACTTCCTGTGCCCTCTAGGGTGCCAGGCCCCAGGCCAGCACCTGACACATATCCAAGGTTAGCAGAAGGATTTGTCTGCTGGTCCCTGCAGTCAGGACAGGGAGGTAGAGAGCGGCTGGGGGATGGGATGGGGCTCTGGCCTGACGGAGTATTCAAGGGAGGTTCCTGCCACGTCCACAGTGCATGAGGGAGCTTGCTGCCACATCCACAGAACATACCCAGTGCTCCATGGAGTGGCGCCTTTGTTATGACTGTGATCCCAGCTAACCAGAAGGCTGAGGCAGAAGGATCACTAATTTAAAACCATCTGGGACAATTTAGCAAGACCTTGTCTCTAAAAAAAGTTGTCTCATGGACTGAGAATGTAGCTCTGGCATGTATAAAGGCCTGAGTTCGATCCCCAATGCCACAAACAAAACAAAACATCAGCTCTGTCCCTTCCCCAGAAACCTTGCCCAAGATGCCACTCCTAGATGAGGCCCACACTCTGAGTCTCCCTGCCCCACTCTGCCCCCTGTACCAAGGACACAGGAATCTCAGAGCCACCAGTGCAGTTCTGGGCTGTGCGGGGGGACATCTCTGTCTGCTCTGCATCTCAGCACTACATAGCTCTAGGCACGGGGCAGGGCTCGGCCTGGGGCCCAGGCAGGACCCACTGCCAACCTCGCCTCACCAGGCCAGGCAGAGCCATGGAGGGAACAATGGGCAGGCCCAAGGGAGAGAGTGCCCCTGAGCCTCGGCTCCCCCAGTTGCTGCCCCACACCCTAGATGTCGGAGGGTGGAAGCACAGGGCAGCAGCCCAGGCCCAGGCCCAGGAGCCACAAGCAGCCCGCAGGGCCTCAGTTCCCCGTGGAGAGGGCACACGGGACAGTGGCTGCCCTGGGGCCCACAGAGGCAGAGCCAGTGCCTCCACCCACTCTGTCTCAGAGCAGCACCCTAAATGAATGAAGCTGCGTTCCCCCAATGAGAGGCCAGAGGATGGTTAGTCACTGGCATCGCAATGGGGACTCCAGGAGGTAGAAGAGAAAAGAGCAGACCGTTCTGAGTCCATGGTCTCCCTCTCACCCTTACCCTGTACTCCACACCCTGTACCCCGCAGCCTGTACTTTGCTGCATCTGGGAAGCTGCCATCCTGCATCTGGCCGCCTCAGGCCAGCACTTCAATCCTCACACAACCAGGGCCTGAGGTTCTTGTGAGATATGAGCTCCAGCTCTTCGGGCACCTCCAGGGCACAATGTCCTGGCTGCCTCTCTGTGGCCGGTGTCCAGTGGTCACCTGGCAGGCAGACCTCATCCCAGGGACACAAGACAGCATGGGGTGGAGTGGACGGCAGGTCCCCTACATATCTCACATCCCCACCAGGGCGGCATGGGCGGCATGGGCGGCATGGGACCTCTAAGCTTGCGAGGAGACAGCTCCAAAGTCCAAGGCCCAAGCCACAGATGGACTCACAGTCGGCACGGGTGTGGCCAGGGAGGTGGGATTTCGCAACACTGGAGATGAAAAATAGGATCAAGCCACAAGGAACTGACTCAGGCCGCTGGCAACGGGTCCCTCACTCAGCCCAGGGCCACCCCAGCTGCCTGCCCTGGGCGGGGGAGGGGGGTCGGAACCACAAGGACCCTTAGAGAACACTCAGTTCTGAGTACACTCCCCTCAGGTGAGTGACCAGAGCCCAGGGACTCGGAGGTGAGCAGGGCAGCACCACGGGCACAGCCAGTGACCATGGCGCAGGCCTTCTGTAACCGCACCCACGCCAGCCCTCCTGGGGGTGAGGGCAGGAAGGGAGGCCAGGCCTGTGGATGGCGGACAAAAGAGTGTGAGGCCTCATGGCCCGGACCCTAAGTTCCACAGGCATAGAGGCTGAGTCAGACATCTCCCCTGGGCCAGACAAGAAACACCCCTTCCATCCCCAGATGTGGCCACTGCCTGATGTCTGCCAGTTTGAAGGCTGCAGCAGGCTCTGGTGACAGCGTCCAGCAGACCTGGGCCAAGGACTGCCCAGGAGAGAGCCCTGGGGTGGGGACTGACAGGGCGACTCCCATTTTCTGCTTTAACAACTCTGAATCGGAGGAAAGAATTAATGACATCTTTAAAAGATAATGACAGTAAAGCTCTTCCCTCCGTGGGCAGTGGGAGAGAAGCACAGAGCCTGTCCCAGCCTGGTAGTGACAGAGGGTGTGGCCTGGGACTCCTGAGAGGGAGGCAGAGGTAAGCAGGCTGGGGTCCTGCGGAGCACTGTCCTAAAGCAGAGTACAGGCTGCTTTCAAAAACAGTCAGGCTGGCGATTTAGCTCAGCGGCATAAGCGCCTGCCTTGCAAGCAGGCAGTTGTGAGTTTGATCCCTGGTACGGATAAAAAGGAAAAAGATAAAAAAAAAAACAGAGTCAGACAAAAGCTGGGCACAGTGGTGTACAACCCTAATCCCACTCCTCGGGAGGCAGAGGCAAGAGGATTGTGAATTCAAGACCAGCCTGAGACCGGGCACATGTTGGCACACCTGTAACCCCAGCACTTGGGACCCTGTCTCAAAACAACTTAGGCTTTTGCGGGGGGATCTCACTCTGTAGCCCAGTTGACCTGGAACTTGCAGAGGTCCGCCTGGCTCAGTCTCCCAAGTGCTGGGATTTCAGGGGTGCTCCACCACGCCCAGTCTCAGCCTAGGCAATTCAGCAAGACCTTCCTAAATAAATTGTAAAAGGGTTACTGGGGGTGCAGCTCAGTGGTAGAGCTGGTGCCCAGCATGTGCAAGGTCCCAACTTTGACTCTCCAGCACCAGGAGGGGGACCACATTGAGGATGCTGGTAGAGAGCAGGCAACATCCCCACTTTTCCCTCAGAGGTAAAAGAAGGGCAATGCCTGAGGATTTTCAAGGTAATTCCTCAAAAATATTCCAAGTTCTCCATCATAAATAAATGTAGCCCCAGCCTCAGCCTCCTGACCACTGCCGCTTATTTCAATTCAGCTGCCTCCAGGCTTGGTGGCACATGCCTGTCTATAATGACAGCTACCTGGGAGGCTGAGGCAGGAGAGTCCAAGGACAACCAGGGCAACTGATAGAGACCCTGCCTCAAAATAAAAATAGAAAGGCTGGCGAGGGAGCTCAGTGCAAAGGCCCTGAGTTCAACACCCAGCACTGAAGAAAAAAACATTTTTAAAAAGAAAAAGCTGCCAGCCACACCCAGCTCAGCAGTTTCCTGTGTCCCAGAAGCCACTGAGGCCAGCCCCACGGCCGCCAGCAGCCCCCTGACCCAACAGGCTCTCACCCTAGTGTCTGAGACCTCACACCCTCAGGGGGCCAGTGCAGGAGCTTTGCTGTACCGCATTTCCACGATAACACTAGGGTTTATGGGTTGGCCCCAGCCCTGGCCAGTGACCAGAGCTGTAACCTGACCCAGGCCCCACACACACACACACACACACACACACCACGCCCCAGGCTG